ATGAGGAGCATCTGCTCTTCCAACCGACGGGCCCGTTCCTCTTGTCCGTCCCGCAGCTGCTCTTCCAAACGACGGACCTGTTCCTCTTGTCCGCCCCGCAGCTGCTCTTCCAACCGACGGGCCTGTTCCTCCTGTCGGCGAGCCTGCTCCTCCTGCTGCTCTTTCAACCAACGGGCCTGCTCCTCCTGTCGGCGAGCCTGCTCCTGCAGCATCACCATCAGAGCACCTAAATCAGGTGCTGCAGATGTAGGAGCTACTGACGGGCCTGCAGCCGGCGGCTGGCCCTCCGACCTCTGCGGCGTTGCACCACCAAATCTTCTTTGGTCCTTCTCCTGCTGGCGTTGACTTCGGATACGGACACCCTCCGTTTCCTCCTTAGGTAAAATCGGCATGATTTTATCCCACTTCTGATACCAATTGTTACGAGCTTGAGGTTCGTGACAATAAAAATTGCCGATAGGATTACCTAAATTAACACTCTAATTTTCTTTACACAAATTAAAACTTAAAACACCAATAATTAAGCACACTAATTCACTTTGTTTCACACAAAGTTTCACCTTTAGAAAATTCGAAGGATTCACTGTTATAGTAATCAATTTACTTGTTTATAATGACGACTTTGTGGTGTAGTGTCTTAGCAGTGAGTTGCAGCGCTAAGGGCCACGGGTTCGAATCCCGCACGGAACAGCTATTTCTATGGCCTACAAATAATTGTTTCGGGTTTGGATATTGGTTCTTGTGAAATTTATGTACGTAAACTGCCCCTACGTTCCGGGGAAAATCCTAGTGTAGAGGTAACGTTTTTACTATTTTCATTATCTACCATATACATTATACGTTTTATTTACATCACGTGGACCTGCAGTTTTTAAGAGCTTTTTCTTGGTTGCATCAGTGAAATAACCATAATGAAAATGTTTTCCACACAGCATTTTGGGTTCATTATGTAACTTTGTCTGGAAAGCTAAAGTAGTATACTGCTGTTCGGCAGCTTAAGGTTTAAATTCATTAAATAGTGAACATCTAAATTGTATACGTACCGTAAAATATACTTTACTGCGGTTAAGAAACCTAAACAATTTAATGTATTCTCTATCTACGGCTTTAGATAATGACGTACTAAAATCCACTTTAGATAATTAATTAAACGATATAACAGGAGCAGTAATCCACCGGTGATTAAGTTCCTTTCAAAACCATTGCTGTTTCTTTCCGCCATGCTGAGCAACTCGTGACGTCACTGTCTTTGAATTTCGCCAATTTTGCAAAGCAATAAGATACTTTTGAAAGTTTAATAATGAGTTATTATCTAAATCATTGTCGTGTTGTGTCTGAATGCAAAAGTACGAGCATAAGAACGCCGGGAAAGTTATGGATTCAAGTGCCAACTGATTTAAATATAAAAAATACTTGATTAAAACTCACAAGAAGATACCCGAATACATTGTATACAAAAACTAGTACTAATTCGAAATAATTAATTAGTAGTACTAATTCTTTCGCATTCGCACACGAAAAAGATAGATTTACAGGCCTTCTACACGGCCGGGACCAACCACCGTCCGTCGTAGCCTTGGTCGAGTTGATGTAAAAACACAGTGACATAGGACAGTGTGGACATCGGTTGTCTGACCAATATTTTGGTTGATGTCGGACGGCCTTGGACTCGTCGGGTCCGTGGTTGACCCCGACCGTGTAGAAAGCTGTCGGCCAACGAGAGCGTCATTTCAAGTAATTCATTAAAAGTCTTGATCCATTATTAGATAATTTCGAAAGACTTCAGAATCAAGAATCCTTAAAATATTGAGATGGTTCAAAGTAATTCGCTATTTTAGCCACAGTTTCATCCACTTTCTTTTTTTCTTTGTATTTCTTCTTCACTCAAGCATAAAAAAGTTATTGCCAAACCGATATTTTGTTGCTTCGAAAAACAAGGATCGATATTTAGCTTATTCTTTACGCTTTGAATGCGGTAGAGAACTGACAAGTTGAGTCAACCACCCGACCGTGTAGAACGAATACAAAAATCGGTTGACCCGACCAAGGACACGATGGTCGGCGGTTGGTGTGGATCGTGTAGAAGGCCTTTTATGTATGTATACGTATGCGTCTTGCATAGAAATGAGACAGAGCGGTGTGATTGTTTGTTCCTTTCTCCGTGCTGGTTTTTTGTTTAGCAAACTACACTTTGCTAAACATCTTTGACGGTTCGTAGCGATCTAAGGAGTTTACAAGTTGGTTTAAGTGAGAAAAAAAGTGTTTTGTGAGCTTAAGATTGGTGAATATTGTTCAGTTCAGTTCTTAGAACAATTAAATTTTTTATCCAAATATGTTTAAGTCATAAAGATTTAACCTAAAATTACCTTACCGTCCTTTCTCACTCGAGGCCACGCTAATCATTAGTCTATAGGTTTCTCTGTCTACGGCATAGATTACTGTGTATATACTAGCTTGCTACATATTTATTTATCTATGGTATATACTATAGAGTTGACCGGACCGTAATTTATACAATGTACACTGTGAGCGCTATCTAATCTAGTATCTATCGTAGGTATAGGTATCTATCTACATTTTAGTAGCCATCACAGTCACAGATTACTTTTTTATATATAGGAAGCCATTTTATCGAACAAAAATTGATTGTAATTGATTGACTCTAGGTGGAACCAAGAGTAGACCTACCTTAAATATAGTAAAAAGATGACCTGAAGTTATGAAAGTTTATTTTAAGAAATTTTGTTAATATATTGTTACGCGCTAAAATCGGCGCACTAGCGCCATCTAGTCTCGAACCAAAGAACTAAACTTCTTGAAGTTTAAAACTCGAACTCTCGGTACCTCGCGCGTGTTTACTTGAACATTCTGGATATTTTGCTAATTTATATAAGTAGGCGCTGCAAGATGCGATCGGGCAGAGTTGAACTCGGCGACACAAGCGAAGCTTCGGAGCTTAGTGTGTTTAATTATTAGTGTTTTTAGTTTTAATTTGTGTAAAGTAAATTAAAGTGTTAATTTAGGTAATTTTATCGGCAATTTTTATTGTCACGAACCTCAAGCTCGTAACAATATTATATTGTTTATTTTAGCAGTTAAAATTTATTATAGTGAGATTTAGAAAATCCCCACTGGATTCGAACCCACAACCATTTGAGTTTGTGGCTCGCATTCTGCCACTAGGCTACTGTCGCTTACTACACTATTCCATCTCATTCACTTGCAAGCTAAATCCAATACACACACACACACACATATATATATATATATATATATATATATATATATATATATATATATATATATAAAGTTCACTTCAAAGATAAACTATGAAAAATTGTTTCATTTAAAATATATGAGCATCTTCAGCCTCAGTGGTTACAAAGCATCTGCATCTGCGTATTTGTATGAAATTGAATGCAGGTGTCCACTGGCTTGGCATGCATGAGCAACCTTAACCCTTAACCAGGCTTAGGTCATTACGATCCCACATCGTTAATGCTGAATTTTTACCAGGTTCCGGTTTTATAAAATCCACAAGCTAATACGAGGGTGGATAGAAAAGTACTCGCACTAACCAAGAAAATAAACACATACTAAATCAGTTATATTTTTATTTTTCTACATAATCACCATCAAGTTCAATACACTTTTGCTACCTCCCCTTCCAAGCATTTAGACCGCTGAAAAAAAATGATTCTTCCTTAGAGTCAAAATATGCGTCTACAGCTGCTTTGACCTCGTCGTTTGTCGAAAATCTTTGACCTCCCAAGTGCTTTTTTAGGTTAGGGAACAGAAAGAAGTCTGATGGTGCCAGATCAGGTGAATACGGCGGATGCGGTAACAGTTCAAAGCCACAGTTGTGAATTTCAGGCATTGACTGTACTGACGTGTGAACACGGGCGTTATCTTGATGAAACAGACTTTTCTTCTGAGCATTCCTCGACGTTTTTCTTTTATTTCCCCTCGTAAACGACGTAGTAAGGTGCAGTAGTAATCAGAGTTTATAGTCTGACCCCTTTCAAGATAATCAATCATAATCACACCTTTCGAGTCCCAGAATACTGAAGCCATCACCTTATTTGCCGACAAAATCGACTTAGCCTTTTTAGGGGGTGGTGAACCAGGTCTTCTCCACTGTTTTGATTGTTGTTTTGTTTCCGGTGTAATGTACCCATGTTTCGTAATGAACCCATGTTTCGTCCATAGTAAAAAAACGATTCAAAAAATCATCTGCATCGGCTTCAAATAACTCCAAACAGTCGCGTGAAATAGTCAATCGCGTCCTTTTTTGTTCAACTGAAAGCAGTCGCGGAACCCACCTCGCAGACACCTTGTGGAAACCCAACTCGTTGACAATGATGTTTTGAGTTCGTTCATAAGAGATGCCTATAATCTCGGCTATATCTCTAATTTTTAATCTGCGTTCTCCCATTATTAAATCAAGTACTTTTTTTAATATTTTCGTCAGTAGTTGACGTCGAAGGCCTTCCAGAGCGGGGTTCATCTTTCACACTCTCTCTACCACGCTTAAATTCTGCTATCCATTTTTTGACGGATGAATATGACAGAGCACAATCGCCTAATGTACTGACCATGTCATCATGGATGGCTTTTGATGATAGCCCCTTCTTATGGAGGTACTTAATGACGGCACGCTGCTCGATTTGCTCCATTCGCGGAAATTATGTCCGATTACTTTGTTAATAAATTTATAAAATCACAACTAATTATTGCACACGTTTCGAACTTCACACAATGAACTAGTCTGAACTGAACTAAATAATGTGGGTAGATTTGATTTTTAGAATTGAATGGATCTGTGTTAGGCCGAGTACTTTTCAATCCACCCTCGTAGAATGTCATCCCAAATATATTATCTATGAAATGAAACTGAACGAACTCATATCGGAACGTAAATGTCACAGTGACAGCCATTTGAATTTGTGGAGTCGTTGAGTGTGTAGATTTTTGACCAAGTTGAGACATTTTTGTAAATAATGTCGAAATCACGAAAGGTAAGTCGTGCTATTTTTTATATGTTGTAGATTATGAGTTTTTGTTGTGGTTTTGTCATATTTCTATGCAGATTACTGGATAATTTTTTATAACAACCTCTAAGAGTATGTGGGAGAACTGTGTCCATTGCCTGACTAGGTAGAGATTTGGTGGGAGATGTATGCCCGCAGCCTGACAATGCCTTTTATTATTACAGGGACCTGTAAAAGACCACGAAATTGAGAAGTTACTCCAAATTTGGCCGTCATCGGAAGAGGAGAGTAATGACGACGAGGATTTTCAAGCAACTGGTAAGGACTTCATTCCTCAGTCGGTGAATACTTTACTGGATCAAATACTAGGTTGTCAAATGATCATTTACTGCAAATATTAGAGGAAGGTCCCTTGCAACATCCAACAACATGTGTACTTACACCTGAGCTTTATACTAACTTAGCTGGAAATAAAGACCTAGAATTATTCCCTCACAATGATAAAGCTGGTCTTTCCCAGTCCCAGCGTTCATCAACACGGGCTCTAACTCCTGAACTTGTTCCTGACTTGCATGAAATCGAGGACCTGGAAGAACTCCCACACGATTTCAGTGCTGGTCCTTTCCAGCATCCACCAACACGCGCATTAACTCCTGAGCTTATTCATAACTTGCATGAAAATGAAGACATGGATGTACTCTCTCATTATGACAGCGCTGGTCCTTCCCAGCATCCACCAACACATGCACAAACTCCTGAACTTTATTCTAGCTTACCTGAAAATGAAACTGCTACTGCTGGTGATGGTATCTTACATAATCCTGAGTTTGAGCAAATACCTGAAGAGCCAACTTATGCTGAATTACAGTCTAAACGGAGAGAGTGGACTACTCAGATTGAGAACTTTGTTCTGAACTCAAAGTCTGAACTCACCTTTTTAACGGAGAACTGCAATCTACAAAATTTTATGATCACAAAAGCGCTCCTATTGTCTATTTCAATAATATGTTTCCAGACAAATTATTTCAAGTTATTGTGAATAATACCAACAAATATGCAAGACTAAAAAATAGCAAATTTTGGAAAGATGTTGATATAAATGAAGTAAAAGCATTTTTGGCCATAGTCCTCATGGGAATAGCTCCTCAATCAGATATTAAATCATACTGGAACTCGGACCCCTTTTATACCAACCCAGAGATATCTGGAACAATGACTTGTAACAAAATTTAAAAAGATATTAGAAAATATTCATGTTTGCAATATAACTACCCATTTGCCGCAAAGTCATAAAGATTATGATAAACTCCAAAAAATAAGACCAATGTTGATGCTTCTAAATAAAGCATTCCAAGAAAATGCTACCAACTCTCAGGCTCAATCTATTGACAAGAGCATGGTTAAATTTAAAAATTTAAAGGGTGTGACAGCAAAAAACAATACTTATAAAGCATGGTGTAGATGCGACGCAAAGACTGGATATCTTTACCAGTGCGACATTTACTCTGGTAAAGATAATGAACCCAATGAAGAAGGTCTGGGGTTTAGGGTTGTCAAAAAATTGTGTGTTAACGTACTGAGAAATACGCTATTAGTCTTTGACAACTTTTTTCTTCTGTAGCTATTGTTGAATACCTTTACAATAAGGGAATATTCTCCATAGGTACTGTTCGAATGACACGAAAAGGGCTTCCCAAAGATTTTGCTGATAAATTAAAACCAGGTGAATTTACATAACGATTTTGCCACCCCATTGGTGTAATAAAGTGGAGGGATACAAAAGATATCCATGTGATAACATCGGCAGTAAACCCTAGAGACATAGAAATTATAGAAAGGAGACAAAAGAATGGTGAGAAGAAAAACATGTACTGCCCGTCTGCCATTGTAGAGTACACTCGAAACATGAGACTATTTCGACCACTTCCGGAGCTCATATTCGATCGAACGGAAATCCAAAAAGTCGTAGTTAAGACTTTTTTGGTTTTTATTCGAGTGTGCTGTTATAAATTCATATATCTTATACAAACATAAAAATGAAACAAGACAAAATATACACAGAGACTTCCGTTTGAGATTGGCCAGGAGCTTGAAGTTTGGTTACATAAATATCCAAAAGCATAACCCTATGGTTTTCAAAAATAAAAAAGGGGGTATCTTTGGTGTACCTGATAAAATAAGATTAGTCGTATCGGACAGCATTATTTGGAACCATCATCATATAAGAGGTGCAGATTCTGTAGCACTAGAAAAGAAGAAAAACGGTCAAAGTTCATGTGCAAAGTATGTAAGGTGACTCTTTGTGTATTCCCTTGCATGGAAAATTTCCACCAAAAGCAAAATTTGTAATTTTTTATTAATTAAATAAATTTATTATCACAAAATATGTTTTTATTTCTAATACTTACCTGCCTAGTGATCTGATACGTAGTAGAGCCATGCTGCAGCTATGTTAGTAGTATAGTTATAGCACGAATAGGTCGGCTCGACCGGGGAAAGACCACCTTCTCACAGAATACCAGCGTGAAATAGCAGCTTGACGCTGCTGTGTTTCGTATGGTGAGTGTAGAGAACCAGAGACCCTTTTTACTTTAAATGAGGCATTCCATCTTAGTCCTCACGGGTGACAACGCAACTGCATTTTGATTTGTAATAGAGGATAGACGTAGATGTCTATGGGCCATAGCAACCACTTACCATCAGGTGGACTGTGTGCTCGTTTGTCACCCTTTACTATAAAAAAAATGAACCTGATGTAATCATAAGCTAAAAAAGTTAATATTACTGGGATTTGTAATACTTAAAATATTTTAAGTTTTAATTATATTAATTATTTACAAAAAAAAATTAAAATTTTAGGTTTAAATATTAAGTAGGCGCACTAAATTTCTCAATTATCTTACAAGGCAAAGGGATTACGTTTCCCACATGATTTTATCTCTTACCAGGCAAAGGGATTATGTTTTCCCACGTCATTTTCTTTACTTTTCCATGCATTTTTCCAATTTTCACAGACTACACGTCATACAAGGCGCAAATTAGTAAATTAAATCCATAGAAACCACTTGCCCAGCTTAAGCGGTTTTCTTAGGCCTGGTTAAGGGTTAAGTTTGTAACTTCAGTTTTATAAAAAAAAATTGTGACAAAGGTCCCTAATTCGTTCACATGTGCTATTATTATTACACAATATACAAGGATCTTCATACTGAATGAAACCCTCTTGTATCAGACAGTTTTTGCTATTAGGCACCAACCACCAACCTATTCAATAATAAAGATTTCATTTTAATGGAATTAAAAGAAACTTGTAAAAACAAAAATTTATTTAATCTTAATTGTTAACAAACTTTAAATGTAGTTACATATTACTTTATTTGCAAATATTAGGCTGACAAAATCAGTTTGTTTAAATACATAAAGATTTCCTAAGAAATACTTCAACCAAAATATGCAATTTATAGCTATTATTTTAATTACACATTTAGAATATAAACATATATATTTACAATGATAATTTACAAATTTTTTAAAATCTACATAGTTGCTTCCTGCCATATTTACGGTTAATCTTTTAAACTACACAACAGATTTTTGTTCATTTTTTATCAATAGACAGAATGATTCAAGAGGAAGGTTTACTAGGCTGCACTAAATGTATCGGGAATGGAATATTTCCACTGTTCCTGTCATATTAAAATCTTTTTAATTGAAAACTCCTTGGTTTTAAAACTCGAATACCATTTATCTATTTAAAAAAAAGATTCTCGGTCTTGCACAAGGTTTTGTCAAACTTGTTTAGTCGTTGAGAAAATGGAATAGACTCGAGAAAATTCAAGAGCGATGATTTATTATGACTTTCAAAGTGGGTTAACACAAAAAGAATGTGTTGACCGGATGATTTTTGCATTTGGTGACGAAGCCCCATCCAAAACCACAATTTATCGCTGGTTTGCTGAATTTCAATGTGGATGTGTCAAGCTCAGTGATGATCCCTGTCAAGGTCGTCCAAAAACTGCAGTCACCCAAGAAAATGTTAATGCTGTGCGTAAGATGATTGAGGAAGATCGACACGTGACACACCGTGAAATTCAGGCAACTTTAGACATTGGCATGAGTCAAATACAAATAATCTTGCATGAACAATTAGGTGTAAAAAAGTTGTTTTCCCAATGGATACCGCATTCATTCTGTGAAGAGTAAAAAGCGGCTCGCGTTACTTGGTGCGTCAGAACTCTCGAAAGATTCCACGCAGGATCCTCAAATGCTGTATACAACATCGTATCAGGTGACGAATCCTGGATATAGGCGTACGAACCCGAAACAAAAAACCAGTCACGAGTTTGGGTGTTCGAAAATGAGTTAAAGCCAAAAAAACTTGTTCGTTCACGGAGTGTTGCAAAAAAATGGTGGCCACGTTTGTCTCCAAAACCGGCCATGTTACAACTATTCCTCTTGAGGGACAAAGAACGGTTAATGCAGAATGGTATGCTAGCATTTGTTTGCCACAGGTCGTTTCTGAACTCCGTAAAGAGAACTGCAACCGCCGCATCATCCTCCATCACGACAATGCAAATACTCACACCGCACACAGAACAAACGAGTTTTTTGAGAAAGAAAACATAGAATTATTAGACCATCTGCCGTACAGCCCCGACCTAAGCCCTAATGATTTCTATACTTTCCCTAAAATAAAGAATAAATTGCGTGGACAGAGATTTTCATCACCTGAAGAAGCTGTGGACGCCTACAAAACGGCTATTTTGGAGACCCCAACTTCCGAATGGAATGGTTGCTTCAATGATTGGTTCCATCGTATGGAAAAATGTGTCAAATTTCGCGGAGAATACTTCAAAAAGCAATAAATACATTTTTAAATAGTAATGTTGTGTCACTTCCTTGATTCCCGAAATTTTCAGTGCCGCCCTTGTATATACATGCATGTTGTCAAGATCAAAAATCACTAGTATGTAACTAAAATCTTTATCATGGTTTTAAAATATTTTGGTATCTATCCTGAGATCAAAAGATGAAATATTGTAGTATAGTATTAAATATTTACATTACAAATCCCATGAAAACAAGTGATGTTTAACTAACATATCTCTTACATCTTCTTTCAGTGGCTGGTTCTGTGTATCTTTTTTTAATGGAAGCTCCCAATCTGGATTTAGATTAAATCCAAACTGTGAGAGTATCCTGAGCTCACATTTTATTTGTACCCAACCTGGTGAATTTATAAAAGACCACGGATGGTACCATTTCTGGACTACATCTACACATGAACAAAGTACTTCTAACCATAAGTGCAATGCTTCTTCATTCAGTCCCATACATATTAGTGTGCGCAGCTTTACATCCATTTGTGCGTGGGCATTGTCGTGGGATAAGTTAACTGCCTGAACACATCTATACAATAATTCTTCTGGTGTAAGAACCTTCCCATCTTCATCCAAGCGGTAAGTTTTGCATAACACTAAGCGGCTGTATACAGAGTTAAAATCTTTTTCTACCTCTCTTGATGAAGCCTCTTCAATGAAAAGCCACGGGTGACAAGGTCCATCTAAGAAGCTGGGCTTTTTTATTCCATGCAATAATACTCTTTTGAATGCTGGAGCTAGGACACCCCTTACTAAATGTGCAGCTTTTTCAGTAACAGAGTCATCACCAGCTCTACTGTATTTAACACCCTTTTCATCTAATAGTTTTACAAATCTGGCAGGGAACCAGCCTCGTAAACCATTAAGCTCTCCAATCCAGCAGTGTTCATCCCTAGAGCTTATTACATCTATAACATCATTCTTCCTAAAACCCAATTCGTCTTCATCCCTTCTTTCAAAGTCAAGGAGTGCTTTGGCTCTTCTCCTTTTACCTCTTGAAACATTTACATATCTTTCCCGATCTGCAGCATGACTTTGCATTGTATAATCAGCTGTTAATTGAACTTTAGATTGCAGTTGTGGTTCTAAAGCTAAGAAATGACGAGCAACTTGTAAAATAGCTTCCCTAAGATCTACAAGGATTTCTGTCTGCTTTACATTT